ACATTCTTATAATTGCTATTTAACATGGATCATCCTTAATATTTATCATTATTTTGTTACAAATATATAGAATACAATTTGGGTCACTTTCTTGCCCCCGTCCCCCATGCCTCGTTCTTCTCCGCCTTCTATCCTCCTCTCCTTCCTCTTTCCTTCTTCCCCTCTCTTCCCCCTCTCCTCCTCTCTTCTCCCCCTTCTTACCCTCTCTCCTACTCTTAATTCCCCTCGCTTACTCCCCCTGCTTTACCCTTTCTTTCTTCCTTCCCCTCCTCATCCTTCCTCCCTTCCGTTGTTGCTCCTGCTCATTTACTTTCTCCGATGGGTTCTCGGGACAGCATTTCAGCCATCCCAACTTTATATTTTCATACCAATAATTGTCTCTGTTATATTTTATTTCTAATAAGAATTGCTTGTTTGTTTATTGGATTTATATGCCGCCCTTCTCCCAAAGGACTCAGGGCGACATTAAAAAAACACATATTACAAAAGTTAAAAAGGAAATTAGATAGAGTATCCAAAAACAAACCCAATTAATATTAACAAAACATTTTAAAAATTAGATTAAAATTAACAATTTAATCAATCATTTATTTTGTTCAGGCCAGGCTAACTACGGTCATGCCTGGTGCCATTCTTGCCCAAAACTGGTTATCTTTCTCCTTGCAAGGAATTAAACTGGAGAAGTTAACTAGGATTAGTGTCTCATAGGGTGGGGTTCGCAATGGGAAATTGGTTCAGTAAATGAATCTGTGCAAAAGCCTCCCCCAGCCTCAAGGAGGAGCCATGAGTCCAGATAAAACACCCAGGCTGTGCACCAGTTCAGTCGAGCAAGCTGATCACATGACCCCAGGACACTGCAACGGTCGCCAATATAAATCAATTTCCAAGCGTCCGAATTTTGATCCTGTGACAATGGAGATGCTGCAATGGTTGTAAATGTGAAAAATGTTCATAAGTCACTTTGTATAGTCACTAAATGAAAGGAAAGTCGAATATTATTTGTATATAATGGGGTATCGTAGGATTGGTGGCCTCAATGTAGGTGTTAAAAGGAGTGGTGAAAGGCTTGAGCTGCGGGGCATCCCAAATTGTGGGGGCCAAGAATCAGCCTCTCTTCTACCAATACCTACTGGAACCGGCCATGGAGGTTAAAGTAGGACCACCATAATACAGTGCCTCTCATTTCCAGTCCCAAAAGCCAACCCAAGAAAAATATCACGGTCAATGGTGTTGAAATCTGATGAGATGTCTAGGAGGGCCATTAAATGAAATGTAAGTCATGGAACGCATTGGGTTGAATTTGTCTGCTATGGAAAAAAAAAACCTCAGGATTTTCTTATAGATAACAAACAGCTGTTGCAAGTATAAAGCCAGCCAGGATTCAGGAGGAGGGAAGTTACTATTTAAACAGAGTTGGAGGGGACCTTGGAGGTCATTTAGTCCAACCCCCTGCTCACACAGGCCCGTACTAGGGATTCAAACTGCCGAACTGCGGCCCTTTCTGATCGACAGACTCAGTGTCTTAGCCACTGAGGCACCGAGTCTCTTTCTAGTTACTCTGCCTTCTCCTGAACTTCTAAAAGAAATACGGGCAGTTCTCGTGTGGCTACAGCTATTGGCCTCAGAATTTCTATTGCTAAGCAATGGTTTTATACAATGTGATGTCATACGAGCACCTTGCTTAGTTCCAGTTGTTATTACAACTCCCAAGACCTCGTGGGTCATTAAGTGAGGACCTCATTGGGACTGTGATATGGGAAAAGGTAGGAATCCCAGGCAAGCAGAACTGCAGGTGGGTGACCTGGCTTCATC